TGTGTGTGTGTGTGTGTGTGTGTATATGTATGTATATATATATATATATATATTATAAAAGGCCTGTGGCCCTAATGCTGTAATGACCAAAGACCAGCATGGGTGGGCGGGGCTGTGAGCACAGGGAGGCCGCGCAGGTGGGCGGGGCTGCGCAATTTCACACACTGGGCTTCTAGTATATACATATATATGTATGTACTGATTTCAGAGAGAAAGGGAGAGGGAGAGAGAGATAGAAACATCAATGATGAGAGAGAATCATTGATCAGCTGCCTCCCGCAAACCCCCTACTGGGGATCGAGCCCACAACCCAGGCATGTGCCCTTGGCCAGAATCGAACCCAGGACCCTTCAGTCCACAGGCCTATGCTCTATCCACTGAGCAAAACTGGCTACGGCCACAGAAGATTTTGACATGGTTGATTCATTCCGTCCTTCTGGAAACACTTCCTTATGTCTTGCCCAATCGCCACCATCAAGTTGCTATTACAGCCCAACGGCTGCCTCCTGGTACCAAGAAAGGTCAATGTGTGACACAGTACCCCATCTACTCACCAGAGCCCAGTAGCTGAGTGTGCACAGTCTCATGGAAAATGATAACAGCAGGGCCCAGGGTGGACAAGGGCACATCCAGGCCACAGCGGGCAGTAGTAGCCTTGAGCTCCTTGGTGAAGTGCTTCAGATAAGCTTCTGAGGCGTCCCCAAGGAACTTGAAGAGGTCATTATGCAGCCGGTCTGCATGAGTTCGATAGATGACGAGGTCTGAGATGGCCAGGACCTTAAGCAGCAGCCGTGTTCTCTGGCTGATATTCACCGTAGCCCCCAGGAGCCCTTCCGTGTCTATCACTGCCACTTTGTGGACTGGGTCATATGCTGCCCACACTCCCACGGTGCAGGACTCCTGGGCAGGGGAGGTTTTGAAGACTTCACGGCCATAAAAGAAAGTGTGATTGAGGGTATGAGACTTCCCATCACCAGTATTTCCAAAAATGGAAACAACCTTCAGATGCTGATCAGGTTTGCAGTCCAATTTCCTAATAAAGTCCTCTTCATTAGACACCTTAAAAAAAAAGACAATGAAATCAGGAAATGGCAAAGTAGCTAGAAACATGTGCAAGAAGAACAAGTGCTTCCCAGAGTCAAGGTCCGTGACTGACTTGTTAAAGTGGCAAGGAAACGAAGCCCCAGTGTAACAGCTCCACCCAGCCCCTACCCTTAGCAAAGAGCTAACAGAACTTCTAAAGCCTCAGTCAGTATCAGAACTCAGTACTCATAGAGAACTAAAAGTACAAAATTCTCAGGAGACGACATAGGAACAAATTTTTATGACCTTGGATTAGCCATGGTTTCTTAGCTAATACAGCAAAAGCAATACAATGAAAGAAAAAATAGATAAAATGGACTATCACAAATGAAAGCTATCATTCTGCAAAGGATATCACTAAGGCAGTGAAAAGACACCCAAAGAATGGGAGGAAATATCTGTAAATCATTTGATAAAGGACTAGTGTTCAGGGTATGTAAAGCACTCAACACGAGTCTGACTAGTGTGGCTCAGTGGTTGAGCGTCAACCTATGAACCAGGAGGTCACAGTTCAATTCCCGGTCAGGGTACATGCCTGGGTTGTGGGCTCGACCCCCAGTAGGGGGCATGCAGGAGGCAGCCAATCAATGATTCTCTCTCGTCATTGATGTTTCTATCTCTCTCTCTCTCCCTCTCCCTTCCTCTCTAAAATCAATAAAAAAATATTTTTTTAAGTAATGCCAGGCCCCACCCAGTGTGACTCAGTTGGTTGGACCATCATTTCATGTACCGGAAAGTTGCCAGTTATATTCCCAGTCAGGGAACATGCCTGGGTTGAGGATTCCATCCCCAGTGGGGGCGTGTATAGGAGGCAACCAATCGATGTTTCTCTCACACCTCGATGTTTCTTTCTCTCTCTCTCTCTCTCCCCCCCCCTTGCCCTCTCTCTAAAATAATAATTACATTTATACATATATAAATATATGTATTACATATATATACATATATACATACACACACACACACACACACACAT